AGCTGGGAGGCTTCAGAAATTTGTGGAGGCGTTGATTTATTTTTAGTTTTAGTTAAAAAAAATTGTTTTGGTATCAAATATTGAAATATCTATCAGATAACTATATATTAGAATATTAAAAGACATGATTACAGATTAAAATATATTACTTGATTCTCAGTTACTTACCTTTTATTTCTCCTATATGCTCAAGTCACAGGACATTATGGTCATTTTAAAATTTATATGAGCAAGTAGGTTAGACTCTCTGTGAATTCCGTTTCAGGACAGTAAAGAAGATGCTGCAAAATATTTATTGCAAATTAGGGCATTGAATCTGGTGGGATCGAGAAATACTGTGCTGTGATTCTGATTTCATGGCAGTTGCCTTTCCTTAGCTGCCTGTATTGATTTATTGCTTTATTTTAAAATTTCGTAGTCTGTCAGCAACATTCTGGAGCTGGGGAGACATTTCATTAGGCCTAGTGGGTTATATGTGTAAAAGGAATTGCTGTGGATTTGTAAATGTATCTTTATATGTGGAAGGAGATGGGGAGGCTGCAAAAGCAGGGTGGGAGGAAGAGCTGCTCCCTCTCTTTGTGGGACTCCTTCCCTTTTGTCTCTTCCCCCTCCTGTGGTGTGCCCATGCCTTTCCCCACACGCCTTTCCTCCCGAACTCTGGGGTGCTCCTTTGTCCAGGGCCTGGACAAGGCAGGACCCTGTCATGCTCATCTCTGGGGCCCTGAGCAGCTGTCACCAAGCAGGAAACGTGGAAGGTGCCCTAGGGGTATTTATGGGCGGAACTCCTTGCCGTGGCCTTCCCCCAGAGGTGCGGTGTCGGCCTTAGTAAGGGTGGAAACGGTCAGCATCCAGCTTCCTCGGCATCTAACAGTGGCCCTCACTGTCTGGCACCAAGGACATAGACCGATGTGTCTCATCCAGGAACAGTCCGGGAGCACAGCTCCGATAAGGTTTGGGAAGACTCTGTGTGACATGGCCTTGCCAGATTCCAGGATAGGAGCGCCTGTGTGCAGAGATTTACCCGCTAAAAGGTGCTTTTCACATCTCTTAGCTCAGTTTTGCCTCCCAACAATGCGGATAAATAGAACGGTCCCATCTCCCCACATTACGGAGGACAAAACTGGGGCTCGGAGACGTTCATTAGCATGTCCGGAGTCACACATCTAGCAAGCAGGACAGCCAGCTTCAACGATAGAGGCTCTTCCTTCTGGTGTATCTGCAGAGCGTGGAGGAGAAAACCAGATGTGGGGGCCAGGCAGACTTGAATGTCAGCTCTTCCACTCCCTTGCTGGGTGACCTTGGGCTGGTCCCTTAACGTCTCTGGACCTCAGTTTCCCAGTCTGTGAAATGGACAGGGAACACTGTAGCAGTTTCTCGAGTGGTTGTTAAGATTCATTCACATAGTCCCTGTCAACTTCTCAGCCTGGTGGCTCAGAGCACAGCCTCGGGGGCCATGCCTGGCTCCTCCTGGCTGCCTTGGGACTTAGAGCAGAAAGGTTAACCTCCCCATGCTTCAGTGTCCTCACCTGTGGGGTGAAGGTAACAATAGTTCTCCTGCACAGAGTTGCTTTGAAGATAAAATCAGTTCCGGGGAAGCACTCAGGATAGCCCCAGCCCACAGTCACCGAGCTGTGTGTCCCTGGGCTGGTCACTTAGCTCCTCTGAGTCTCCATTTTCCCCATCGCTGGGATGACTTCTGCCTGAGTCAGAATAGAGGCGGGCCCTTGGAGATATCAGCGGGCCGCTATGTGTCAGTGTGGAGGGCTCCGAAGAAGATATGCTGATGGCAGGGATCTCAGAGGAGAGGAAAGCGGGGGGCCGGGGGGGTGCGTTCCCATCTCTGAGCAGCACCAGGCAGGGGGAAGCGCAGCCCTTGTCTGCCGGGGTAGCAGTTAGATTCAAAGGACCCGTGCCCAAGCGTTGGCTCTGTCCCTCTGAATCCTCAAAATTCAGTTTCTTCATCTGTAAAGGGAGGATGATAATATCAGGGCTGCCTACTTCATGGGCTTATTTTGAGTAAGGTGCAATTAAATACTGAGCATGACAGAGTTTCACAAACTCGAAAATCCGTGGTAACTGTCAGATATGATGGTCATAGGAAGCTTACCCTTGTAGGGCGCCAAATGCTCCTTCTTTGTTCTGAAAGGGTTAATTCACATCCTAAAATTTCCAGTGCAGGCAGTAATGTAGTCTTCTTGCTGTTATTCATAATAGCGACCAACATTAATGACCTTTATTATGTTCCAGTAACTCCTCCAAGCTCTTTGCATGCCTTTATTCATTTTGATGCCCACCATCCTTAGGAGGTAGGCATCATTGCTCTCCTCGCCGTTTAAAGGGGGAGGAAACTGAGTCACAGGGAAGTTAGTTAACATGCTTAGGATGCTCAGCTAGGAAATGATTGAGCTGGGATTCAAAGCCCTGCAGACTGGCCCCTGAGCCCTCAGGCTGACTCTCCCCATCCCCACAGACACATGCACTCGGTGAGAACCAACTAACTCACCAAGCCCACTGCTGATTACTGCAAAACCTCGGCCAGATGCCAGTGTTGGTATTAGAAAGAAGCCCGGGCTGTGCCCTGGAGGTCAGAATGGGTCATCCTCCCTCTTGGAGGCCCCCAAGGACCCTCGAGTCACATGTGGATCACAGCTGTCAAAACCAGACCCATGCATGCAGCTAGGCTCTGCTCGAGAGTCAGGTAATTAACTAAAACTCTGGTGGGGTATGAAAGTGTCCCACTGAGTGTGTCTGTCCTTTCATTTACTGGTTTACCCACTTATTTAGCATATATTCCCGGAGCTTGTGTTCTGGGGGAACAGAGGAGAGGCACCCCCTTTCCTGCCCTGGCTCCGTGTGGCGGGGAGACCAGAGTGCAGATGGTAAGTTTGGGAGGACTGACAACATGGAGCTGCACCCCAGGAGGCCTGAGAGCTTGCTATGTCCACCTGGGAGAGCCACACAGGGTGTTAGGAAGCAGGAGATGTTGAGCTGGTAATGCGGGGTCAAAAAAGGACCCCTCTAGGCAGCTGGGCAGGCAGAGGGAAGGGCTTGGGCTGTGCAAGCAGGCTGTGCTCAGGGATGGACAGCCCTGTGGAGGCAGAGGGGCTGGAGGGGACAAGAGGGGAGAGGGAAGGGCGAGTCAGTGGGTCCTCAGGGACACTGAGAGCCCACTGCCGTTCAACACGTCGGGGAAGGGGAGAAGTCAGAGCCCCCTTGTGCGGCTAGCTCCCACAGTGGCCCTCCTTCCTTCCAGGCCCCCAGTGCCCACTGCCATTCAACACGTCGGATGCGGCTGGTGGAGTGATCCTGTGTGAGCGAGCCTCCGGCGCAGGAGGGGCCCCCGTCCAGCGGTGTCAGCTGCTGTGCCGCCCAGGCTATCGGAGCGCCCTCCAGCCAGGGCCGCTGGTCTGCAGCCTTGAGACAGGACGCTGGGTGTCCCGGGCGCCCCAGCCCCAGGCCTGCCAGCGTGAGTCTGCCCAGCACCCTGCTTCTTCTCGGCGCTCAGGGCTGAGCACTTGCATTTTCCCCCGCCCAAGTGCAGCATTTCCACAGTAAGCCAGGTGGCATCAGGAGCAGGAGAGAGAGGGCCCAAAGAAGCATGTTCTTCTAGAAGGCGCAGATGTGCTTCACAGACTCCTAGGGTTAAGCTTTATTTGGGGCTTCTCTGGAGCAATCTGTTCCTTGGGAGAACTGCCAGCATTATGGGCTCTCCTGGGATCTCTTGGATACAGGAGTATAATCAGGAGGTAGGTGTTCCGATGGCCCTATCGGTTACTATGGTGTTGACAAGCTAGAGCTGTTTGTCTGGCCTCTGAGAGTGACGCTGACTCACGAACCTCTCTCCTGGGTCCGTCTGGGGTTCCACGGCTAATGCCTGGCAGAGCTGGGGCCTGGACCCTCCAGGGAGGCATCAGTTCTGATCGCTGTGGGTCTGGGCCCCCTGAATATCGGCAGAGATCCTCTCTCCTGCTCTCCCACTGAGCCTGCTTGCACGCCCACGCGGCTGTGAGGCAACTTTGAGCTCTGAGTGTATCTGCCTTGGCTGAGGCCAGCCATGGTTACTCACAGCCTGGCAGGGTAGGGGAAGATGCTGGGACCCAGTACTGGGTCCATCCAGGGCACTGGGAGGGGTGTCTGAGAGAGAGGCCCAGATCCTGGGACTGTCACGAGGCTCTGGGTGGCTGTCAGAAGACAGTATTTGTGGCAAAGATTTCTAGAATAGAAAATGTTATCCAGAGGGCACCTGGGTGACTCAGTTGGTTAAGCGTCTGATGCTTGATTTTGGCTCAGGTCATGATCCCAGGGTGGTGGGATCAAGTCCCACGTTGGGCTCTGAACCGAGCATGGAGTCTACTTAGGATTCTCCCTCTCCCTTTGCCCCTCTCCCCCCTAAAAAAATGTTAACCAGAAAAAGGTCAATATGAGTTGGACAAATAAATGGTCTGTCCCCTTGATGGTGACAAAGTGTCCTAGGCAGAAATTAAGACCAGGCTAGTCAAGACAGGATCTAGAGCAAGGCACTTGGGAGAAAAGGGGAATGGGTCTTGAGCTCTTAATGTTGTGTGCAGGGCCGCTGTGTATGACTCTGTAGGTTGTGCCCTGAACAATCTTAGAGTATGTCTTTCATATAGTCTATGGTGTCCCCTCTTAACTGGCAAAATCATACGTAGTGGCCCTGTGTGAATGCAAGATAATATGGAAGATTTTCCAAGAAGAATGTCCAGGACCCCCAAAATGTAGAGCAGCCGGGTTTAGAAGCTGAGGCAGGACTGAGCTTGCCATGAGGGTGCTAAGTAATTTCAGAGACAAGCCGTCATGCTGGGGAGTGTTTAGACTCTGAGGACGATAGTGCAAGATGGTAGTGCTTGTGTGTTCTAAGCTAAATGAAGAAGGGTGATTTTTGCAGAGGAAAAAAAAAAAAAAAAAACAAAGGAAAGAAAAGAATCCAAGTGGTCTGTTTCCCATGTCTGCTGACCTCCGGTGCTTGCGTGCAGGGCCCCAGCTGTGGCAGACCCTCCAGACCCAAGGGCACTTCCAGCTCCGTCTCCCACCAGGCAAGATGTGCAGCGCTGAGTACGCAGGCTTGCTGCTCGCTTTCCAGGTCTTCATATTAGACGAGCTGGTGGCCCGTGGCTTCTGTCAGATCCAGGTATGTGCCTGACCAAATTCTGCACGACTGAGGGCTTGGACTGGGCTCAGGGTCACGGTGGCGGAGGACCTCAGGGCCCCAATGAACCTAGGGTTCAACTCTCACTCATTTTACCAGTAGGCAAAGTGAGGTTCAGAATGAGAAAGTCCTTTGGCCAAGGCTAATCACATAGTGGTGCCGGTGGAATCCGTAATCATCGCTGGCCATTCTTTCTGCATAAAGCTGTCAAATCAGACGCGTGCTGAGCGCTCACGATGTGCCAGGCACGGCGTGTTGTTGGCGTGGATTAGCGATCCTCATGAGGATCCTATTATTAGTCCAGTTTTGTGGATGAGGGGCAGGAAGCCTGGAGGGTTAGCATAATTGTCCAGAGTTACACAGCTGGGGATGGTAGAGCCAGGCTGATGACATGGGGACAGAGCTGTGAACGCCCGCAGATTACTACCACCACCTGTGGAGGAAGGCTGGAGGAAGACTGAAATGCCAGGTGCACTCCCTGAACCACTGTGCCAGATGTGCCTTCGACAAACCTGCTAGAAGGCGTTATGGATCCTCCCTGGAAGGAGGATGCTGCATGCCAGCAGACAGACCTAGTGCCGGGAATAATCAATATCAGAGTTTTTAGCTCTGTAATAGGCAAGGGCTTCTGTGATTTGAAATCACAAGTATTCACAGAGGGAGTCTTTAAAAGTCCCTCAATTTGGGGCACCTGGGTGGCTCAGTTGGTTAAGCACCTGACTCTTGATTTTGGCTCAGGGCATGATCTTAGGGTCCCGGGACCGAGCCTCGTGTTGGGCTCTGCGCTCGGCGGGGAGTCTGCTTGAGGATTCTCTCCCTCTTTCCTCTGCCCCTCTCCCTGCTCATGTGCATTCACTCTCTCTCTCTCAAATAAATCTTAAAAAAAATGAAAGTCATTCAATTAAATAAGTTGTTCTGTTCAAAGCTTGGTAACTCATAGAGCAGCTCAGTTTTAACCCCTTATGCTAAGAATTTTGGAGAACATACATTTTCACAAAACCAAATACAGAGAGTCGTGATTCTAAGACCAAAAGAAACGTAGATTGCCCCCTTTTATCCAAAGAAATATACTTGACAACACGAGCAGTAATATGTATTAATTATTGAGCCCAGGCTGTGTTCCTGGCACCAGACTAGAAGCTCTACTTTCCTTATCTCTAATTATTACAGCATCCTGTCAGCGAGCATCAGTAACCCTTGAGTTGTAAGTGTGTTAACTAAAGCCCACTGAGAGTAAGCAAGTTGCCCAAGATTTCACAGAGCTAAGTCCAAGTCCATTTAGACTTTCATTACACCAAATTGTTCATTTGTTCCGTCCTTCCTTCATTCTCCCATTTAACAAATGTTTGCATGCCTATTACAGGCTAGGCATGGTTTTAGGCACTGAGGACTGTCAAAGATAAAACAAAGCCAGACACTAGTTAAATTGGTCAGGACAGATTTTAGTCAGTAATATACTAATGCAATAGGGAAAAGGAGTCCAGCATGATCAGGACTCAGCTTTGATTTGTGCCAGGGTTAACTGGCCCCTCGTGTCCCTCAGAGGGGAAAGGGGTTTAGTAGTGCCTTGCTTCTGGGGTAGAGTTGAAGGGAGGGTAGAAGGAAGTCACAGAAGGCATGTTCTGGCACCTGGTGTGGGCTCAGCAAAGTTGGCTCCTGACTCTGTGTTCTTTTTTTTTTTTGGTGGGGAGGGGGCACCTGGGTGGCTCAGTCTGTTAAGTGTCTGCCTTCAGCTCAGGTTGTGATCCTGGGATCCTGCAATCAAGTCCAGAGTCGGGCTCCCTGCTCAGCAGGGAGTCTGTTTCTCCCTCTCCCTCTGCTCTTACCCTCTGCTTGTGCTTGCTCTTTCTCTCTCTCAAATAAATAAATAAATAACAACTTAAAAAATAGATGGGTATTAAGGAGGGCACGTACTGCATGGAGCACTGGGTGTTATATGAAAACAATTGATTGTGGATCACCACATCAAAAACTAATGATGTGTTGTATGGTGACTAACATAACATAATAAAATTAAAAAAAAATCTATCTATCTATCTATCTATCTATCTATCTATCTATTTATCTATATTTTTTTTGAGAGACAGCATGAGTGGGGAGGGCAGAGGGAGAGAGGGAATCTTAAGCAGGCTCCACACCCAGCACAGAGCCCAACTCGAGGCTCAATCTCATGACCCCAAGATCACGACCTGAGCCAAAATCAAAAGTCAGACACTTAACTGACTGAGCCAACCAGGCGCCCCCGACTTTGTGTTCTTGAACTAAAGGTGTCTGTCTCCATGTAGGCAAAGACTTTTGGGATCCCCGTTCCCATTCCTGTCTGCGACGGATCCACGGTGCAGGTGGAGTGTCTGACCGGGGAGCGTTTAGGAGTGAATGTCACATGGAAGGTGCAGCTGAAGGATGTCCCACTGGCCTCTCTTCCTGATTTGCATGATATTGGTATGTTTGGCCGCCCTGTGGCCTTGACATTATGCAGCTTCTCTGAGGCTCAGTTTCTCCATCTGCCAGTTGGAGCCAGTGATGCCTATAATGCTTTCCCATGAGGCTCTAGCGAGAGAATTATGCCCTGGCCCTCCGAGGAGCCAATTATTAAAAAGTATATAAAAATCAATAGCCTCCTGCTCGTAACTTACGAGACTCAAATAATATCACCCAATTGCACTTCTGTGGAGAGCTTCTAATTCTTCTCTTGGTTTTCTGGGCACAGATGGGGAGACAGGTGGGCAGGAGGGGAAGGTGGGGGTTGGCGGATCTGAATTGGTTTATAATTTATGTTCTGCACACTTGCAATGAGAAAACATCTCGGACCACTTACGCTATTTAAGCTCATTATTACACTGTGTCAAGCGGGGCAGGTGGGGAATGAATTGAGAGAGTAGAAGGATCCAAGAAGGAGGAGCAGAGTGGACTGTGTGGTAGTGCTGTGAGCCAGTGTAGATATAATCCATATTGCTGACCAGGGGGTGGGGAGCCCCCTTTGCTCCCCTACCCAGGGTCGGTGCTGGCTGCAGCTTGACCTCTGTTCTACAAAGGGGAAGCTTCTGGAAAATGCTGCCAGAGTGTGACCCCGGGGGGCAGACTGAGTCTCTGTCATTGTGCAGTCCTCGTGGCAATTATGTTCCCCTAACAGCATTAGGAATCAGGGGTCCTTCTTCCTCTCGAAAGAGCTTGGAAGATTCAGGTATGTTTGAAGCTGCAAAAGGAGGAGATGTTTATTCCTGGGGTCCGTGCTGACGACTGTGGTTTCAGGCCCTGGGCTGGCTTGACAGATCCTGCTGTAGTGTGAATGCTTATTGCGTGCGGGGATCTGTCCCAGCTCCAGATGTGACACCCTTCTGCTCTCTTCCTAGGAAATACTTAGGGATCAGCAGCTGGAGGCCTCTTCAGTGAGTGGAAGGTTGCGTTGCCTCCTGGAGACAAGGCCTTCTCTTTGAGTGGTCCCAGCATACACATTGTTCTTATAATCTTCACCAACTATAAGAGAGGCATTGCCAGCCCCATTTTGCAGATGGGGAGATGGAGGCTCAGAGATCGTAGCTTGCCAAAGGTTGGGACACCTTACATTAGTAATTGAAGACACAATATCTTGTACTAATGGGGACCATATTGATGCCACAGAAGTGATAGGGTCCAGAGACCTGGGTTAAAGTCCTAGTCATGTTTCTGCATCCTGTGTAAGCTTGGGCCAATCTGTCCCCTTCTATAGGCCTCAGTTTCTCCCTCTAAAATGAGAAACCAGGCAATGCTTACAACTGCTTTCTGTGCGGCCATTCTAGGTGGCTCTGTCCCTTGGTCTCCCCCAGCCCTTGCAGAGAACAGCAGTGACATTTCTGCCTCATCCTGTGTCTTACAGAGGAGGCCTTAGTTGGCAAGGATCTCATTGGACGCTTCACAGATCTGATCCAGAGTGGAGGGTTCCAGCTTCATCTGGATTCCAAGACATTCCCTGCAGACACCTCCATCTACTTCCTTCAAGGAGACCGCTTTGGCACCTCTCCCAGGACATGGTTTGGGTGCTTGGAAGGATTCCGCCAAGTCTTGGCTACCAGTGATGCCACTCAGGACGCGTTGGGGTGCGGTAGGTCCACCCCCTCCCCTGGGACTGCTGGTTTCAGACACGTGAGGCTGTGGAAAAGGCCACCAGAGCACTGGAGACAGGTCACTCTGCCCATACAGAGTGGGGGAGCACTCATTTGGCTGTTCGGCTAAAGGCTTTCAATCATCCGCCATGCATGGGTGTGTGGTCATCACCCCATCAGGCAGTAGCTGAGACCAGAGGCACAGGCAACACGACGGAAGTGATCGTTCTTCTTACTTCTTGTCAGACTTGGACCTTGGGGTCTGGGCTGTGCTGTCTTTGTGGAGAAGGCTGATGTCTGCCCTGTATGCCTGCCGACATTCTTAGTCTGGTTATGGCAATGTGTTGCTCATCACCACGTCCAAATGGCCATTGATCAGCCCAGGGCTTCACCACCCAGAGGAGGTGACTCCTGGCAAAGGTTAACTGGAGCTGTCCTTCCTTGCCCTTCCCCTATGGAGCTTTGGAAGCGGTTTCCTCGAGAACGCAGCTGCAGATTTCTTGAATGGCAGTGGCATGAGTCTCCTTGGCCACCGTCACGGGTCATCACAAACTCTGTGTCCTAAGACAATCCACATTTATCATCACCCAGCTGTGTAGGGTTGAATTCCTAGTCGGGTCTCATGGGGCTAAAACCATGGTGTCAACAGGGCTGTGTTCGTACCAGAGGGGATCTGTTTCCTTGACTTTTCCAGGGTCTAGACGTTGCCCATATGTCTTGGCTCATGGCTTCCTTCCTTCATCTTTGAGGCTGAAGGCCATAGCTCCCTGGACACTCCCACGGTCACAGCTCCTTCAGACTCTGTCTTACCCTTCCCAGGACCCTGGTGGTCACACATAGCTGGGCAATCCAGGACACTGTCCCTATCTTTGGGTCAGCTGGTTAGACCCAATTTCCTTTTGCCGTGTAACCTACCATGTTTGTGGCTCCTGCGAATCAGGAGTGGCCGTCTTTTCTGTGTCCTACTTCCAAGGGCTCGCGTCGAGAAGCCTTCCTCCCCTGTGGCACGAGACAGAGGAGCGTTGTTGTTGAGCTGCAGCAAGGGAAGGTATTTCTCGGTTATTTATTTTTCCATTATTTATATTGGTTGCAGCACAAGAACTACATGGCCTTTCCTCTCGTGAAATCCAGGCCAAGTTCTAAACTCCATGTTGGATTTAAGATGCAGGTGAATCTTAACACAGTAACCCAGAAATGCACCCACTGCCCCACTGCCCGCTAATATTTAGAGAATTTTGCAGTCTATAATGCACTTTCACAAATATTTACCACTCACGATGTGCCCTGGTGGCACGTCATTCACCCATTTAACAGATGAGGAGGTTGAGGCTCAGATGAAATGAAATAATGCATCTGTCATGTCCAGATCAGGGCTGACTCAAAGGAGGGACTCAGGTTCATGAAACCAATCATCCAGGGGTGCATAACCCAAGGTCCTCTGGGACCAGGGCTCATGCTCTTTCTACCTCACAGAGATGCCCAAATAAAAAGGATAAAAAGTAGGAGCAGGAGTGGAAGGTGCCACCTGCCAGAGTGGGGTGAAACAGGGTCAGAGTGATGGAGGTGTTCAGAACACCCACCACTGTGTTCTTATACTTACTGGGAAGAGCCCTGGGCTCTCCTGCCGTGTGTTTGTGTGTGTGTGTGTGTGTGTGTGTGTATGTGTGTTGGGGAAGGGTGGTGTATTGGGGGGGGTGTATTTGGAGGAGCAGTGGCAAGAATCTGCTTTATAGTCACCCCAGGTAGTGTAGAAAGGGGGTCCAGGATCCCCACCTGAGTGCACGCCCTGGAGCGTGGAGCCCAGAGGAGGAGGGGCAGGAAAGGGAGATAGGTGCTGGTCAGGGGCCAGGTGAGAGACCATTTACTGGCTCTGCCTTTGCACTTCCTCCCATGGCCTAGCTCCTGCATATAAAATCAACTGCTGGTCCAGAAATCTGATCCTGAGTTTCTTTCTAGGGAATTTCATTGCTGATTAGATTATTATTTCATGTCTAACAAGATGGGTATCCCAGCTTGACAGGGAAGAGGGAGGGAGAAGCTGAGCTAGGAGCACAACAGTATTGGCCGAAGGATGGTAAGCGGTAGGAGCACTGGTGGCCGGAACTCAGGGTGGCAGGGCTTCAGAGCGAGTGGGAATCACAGGGTGGCCTGGAAATGGGACTGGGTAAAAGGTTTTGCCTGGGCTGCACTTGCTGCAGGACAAGAGTTGGCAAGCTTGTTCCACAAAGGGCCAGAATGCAAGTGTTTTAGGCTTTGTAGACCATACGGTTTTTGTCTCAGTGACTTAACTCACCCATTGTAGGGAGAAGAGCATGGCTGTGTTCTAATAAAACTTTATTTGCCAAGCAGAAGGTGAATTGCATTTGGCCCATGGGCTGGAATTTGCTAATCCTAGCTCTAGACAAACCTACATTCTATTTCTCAGCTGCTGTAGTTTTTTATTGACTCAAAAGAATCTTGGATCATGCCATTCAGCCCTATCTCCTTACTCCAAATAGTTAGAAAGGTCTGGAATGGAATTCACAAAAGCAGCACCGAAAGCTCTGGATTTTCTCCAGTGTCAATGATAATATCTATTTGTTATTGAGTTTCTAATATGTTCTGGGCCTTACTAGCATTTCTCTTGTCCAGAGGGTCAGGTATCATTAATCCCATAGTATGGATGAGGGAGCCAGGGACATATAGTTAAGAGTATTAGGAAACTGCTCTTGGAAGCCAGGTGGGTTCAAGTCCTCACTCCAGTGCCTTCTCAATGTGGGTTCTTGGGACATTGCTTATCCTCACTAAGCATAATCTGAAAAATAGGGATAATAATATCTATTTCATGGAGGTCGTGGTTTGCACAGCATCGTGTAATCAATGCACGTGTATCCCTTCACATGTGGTGAACTCTCCACAAATGGCCTTGTTGATTGGCCATGCTGGGATCCAAACTTAGCTCTGCTGATTCCAGATGCTTTGTCCTCGGCATCACATATCACTCTTCTCAACAAGGAGCTTCTTAGTGAAATCGTGCCCTTGGATTCTTGTATCTATTCTTATTGGCTCTTTTTTCCTTCTGAGGCACATCTGGAACACCGCTGTGAGGCTACAAGCAGAGCATTGTCCTGTGGAGATGAAGTAGGGTTTCTGTGTGTCATCTCAGGGGGGCTAATCTGTATGATCCCCCTGGGAGGGCAGTGACTCAGGGGTGAGTGGGAATGTAAGCATGTAGGCATGGCAGCCTCCATCCAGGGAATGGGGAGCACAGGAAGTAAGGGCTTTGTTTGCAGCTTTGAAGGGGTCAGTTACGTTCACCCTCTCGCCTCAAGGCCAACCACGTGGCTTCCCTTCAGAATGACCTGCTGGCAGCCTTCATACCAGTTCGGTCCATTAAGAATCTCAGAGGAATTGTCTGGATTTCCCATTTTCCATTCTGGACAGCGTTAACTTTCACTCATTCACTACAAGTTCTTATAACAGAGCTAGTTCTCTATGGTTTTGTTTTGTTTTGTTTTGTTTTTCCCCCAAAGTAAGATGTTACATCTTGTTTCCTCCCTCCTCCCTTCTTTCCTCTTCCTTCCTTCTTCCCATCTATGCGTGTAGCCATCCATCCAAGCCTTCAAAGCATAATTATGCGTTAAACACCAGGTTACATACTTAGGCAGGCCAAGGTCATAGCTCCACTTTCAAAGAACTCACAGTCTGGTTGGGGAAGAGGTAAATGAAAAGCCAGCTAAATGTCAATGTCAAAGCCTTTGACATCGCGGTCAGGGTGGTCAGGGAAGGCTTGCTGGGGTAGCAGGGTCGGTATGAAGTCTTGAAAGGCACTTTGGAATCGCTGCTCAGGTAAGAACAGACAAGAAGTGGTGTGTGTGTGTGTGTGTGTGTGTGTGTCTGTGTGTGCACGTGCACACGTGCTGAGGGTTCTACAGTGCTGAAGGGCATTCCGGAAGTGGAGATGGGTGCAGGGAGTCATGAAGGTGTGACTGTAGGGGGACAGTGCAGGTGGCTTATATGGCTGGAGAGTGAGGTGTGTGGGGATATGGCAGGAGGCGTGCCCAGGGCGATAGGCAGGAGCCAGGGTGGGAGCGGTCTGGGGTCCGCCAGGGGTGGCCTGCTGGGGGTCCCGGGGGAGGATTTCACGTTGGAGGGTGACAGGACTGGGTATGGGGTTGAGCAGAGCAGGCTGAGGAGTGAAGGACTCTTATCCTTCCTCATAGGTGTTTTTCTTCAGCAGAGACATGTCTGTCATTGTTGGGGGCCCATGGGGACGGGTTGTCAGGAGGGATAGCATGACCTGGAAGTTTTGTGATGCTCTTAAACTCAAGTCGGCCAAATTGTCTCATTTTGTGAAGGAGGGAATTGAGACCAAAGGGGTGTCTGATGAGTTTGTGGAGGGAGTTAATTGATGGATAAGTGCCAACCTGTTGCTGTGGACAGAGGTGATCTTTGAGAGCCAACACCTGCCAGGGGAGGGGTGAGGATATCGAGCCTCTGCCTCATGCTGACTTACACAGGGTTCCCATGGGTGGAAAGGCTTTGACAGCACAGATGGAGAGAAACAGGACACAGGTTCCTGGCGCATAGTCTCAAGGCCTACGAATTACTGAGCTTGCGGCAAAAGTTAGTCCCGCTCTCTTCTTCGGTCCCTCCACCCTTTGGCCCTTCCACACATTGGGTTTGGAAGCAGGACACCTCGAGCTGGCGGAATAGGCTTTGTTTTCCTTCAGCAATGAATTTGGAGACTACTTGAAAAAATAGTCCCAGTCCTGGGGTTAAAATATTCGAGATAATCAGCGACCTGACTCATAGGAGTAATGAAACCCCGCTCTTTGAGGGAGGGTATTAATTCCTCAGGGCAGATCGGAAAACACATTGCTCAGTTTCCAAGCTGTGCTCAAGTTTCTGATTTACTCAGACGTGCCAAGTGCGTGTGCACACTCAGGTAGCAGTGGTTAAATCAACAGTGGCTCCACGTCCCACACGTCCATGCTTGCTTCTTTGTCAAGGGCAGGTGGTTGCGCTGGTGGGAGGAGAGAAGGCTTTGGTTTGCAGGGAATGGGGCTCACATTCCACCTCTTTCAACTCACCTCCTGGTCCACCTTGACTTTGAGCTCCAGCTCCAGCTCCAGCTCCAGTCTAGAAAGAGGATGGTACCTTCCTCATAGGACCTTGAGATGACACACTGAAACAGTCTGGCACCATGCTTGGCATAGCCTCTAATTCCCCTTCGCCCCTGCCCTTTGCAGAAAAGCGTACCAGGGAGTCATGCATGCATGTCCCAAGGCTCAGCATCCTCATCTGCGAAATGAGGTGAAAATACTAACTCACGGGCGTGCTGTGGTCATGTCCACGAAGCACACAGCAGGGTTCCAGGCACAGAGAAAATGTCCTAAGAGTGGACAAGCTTTCCGCCCCCACCTTCACTGGGGAACAGCTCACTTCTTCTGGAAGTCATTTGGCAATCTCTTGGGAACACAACCCAGCACCAAGAAAGAAAGCAGAAAGAACCTCCTTTTCCCTCCCCTTCTCTGAGCCCTTAGACTCAGTGTGGGCCAAGTTCATGTACTTTTCTCAGAGCAGAGCTCCCGGAACCTAACTTGGAACTCTTATGAGATAGGCATCTCTCCAGTTGGAGTTTCTGGTTTCTCAGCCCATGTCATATTAGAGGAAGCAAATTAGGAAAGACTGGGTGTCAGAGGGACAGAAAGCTCCGAGAATCTGCAGATTAACAAGGTAGCACCGGGAGGCGAGGGGTGAGGCCAGTGAGGCATCTAGTGGGCAAGATGCACGGAGGCCTCACTCTCAGGGTCACACTTGGTATTTCTGAGTAAATCAGAAACCCAACAACCCAACAGTGAAGGCCTCCATAAATCCTGCGCCCCGGGCACCTCACCTCACCATGGTCCCAGATCTGAGCAACACCACTGATGACCAACCAATAGGGAGAGGCCACATGAGTCAGAGGTGATGGTGCTAAATTGTTGAGATTGTCTAGTTTGGACAGACTGGGTATTGAGGCTGGCTCCAAGGAAGGACTCCCTCAAGTATAAAAATAATACTGGGTGGGGGGATGGGTTAAGTAGATGATGGGGATTAAGGAGTGCACGTGTCGTGATGAGCCCCGGGCGATGCAGGGATTAGCTGAATCACAACACTGTACACCTGAAATGAATATAACACTGAATGTTAACTAACTGGAATTAAAATACAAACTTAAAAAATTGTGACCATTTGCTGAGCACACATAAGAGTCTGGCATGATGACCTGTGCCCTTTGTATATCCTCACTGCATTCCCATGGGGTGGTATTATTACCACTGCATTCCCATGGGAGGAGAAAATGGAGCCTCCAAGAAGTCTGAAGTCATTTAGGTATAGTTGGGAGAGGGACTTGAGCCAGTCTGGCTGACCCTAAAGTTTGTTCCCCCAGCTGGGCTCCGCCATGCCCCTCACTTACGGCAGCGTTCCCATGGTGACCGAGGGACAGACCCTCATTTTTCAGGTCGTTCTCCGACCTTGTCTCATGCCATTCTTCCCTTTGTCTATTAAGCTCTATCTTCATAGCTGGCTTTCTCTGGCTTTTTCCTTTCCATTCCTTAAATAATCCAAACTCATTCCTACCCCAGGACTTTTGTCCTTGCGGTTCCCTCTGCTTGGAATTCTCCTCGCCTAGCTCTTTGCCTGGGGTGCTCCCCACCATTCGGTGTGAAGTGTCACCTTTCAGAGGGCTTCCTCACTAACACGCTGTCCTCTCCTGCCTCACTTTACCCATATCTGAAGTTCTGTCTGACACCGCTTATCCTACTTGCTTGTCAGCTCCTGCAGAGCAGGAACCTTGTCTACGGTTCCCACAGCTTAGCCTTGATTGTGGGAGCCTGGCATGTAGCAGATTCTCAGTGGGTACTGGTTAAGTGAATGAGCTCTTGTGCTGCTGCTGGGATTTAGCATACCCTGTGTGTTCTGAGGTTACAACTACAAAGCAAGAGTCTTCTCTTTAATATCATTTTTCTGTTTATCTTTTCTAGTTAAATGTCCTGAAGGAAGCTATTTTCAGAAGGAGATTTGTATTCCCTGTCCTGTTGGATTCTACCAAGAACAGGCAGGGAGCATGGCCTGCATCCCATGTCCCATGGGCAGAACGACCATTTCCCCTGGAGCTTTCAGCCACATGCACTGTAAGTTCTGCAGGGTCCTGGTGTGAAAGAGAACCTCTACAATACAATGGGGACACGGCAGAGTGGCTCAACCTCAGAACTATTGAAATTTGGGGGCAGAACATTCCTTTTGGGGACTGCCCCATGCATGGCAGGATGTTCATTTAGCGACACCACTAACCCTTACCTATTACACATCAGTAGCACACCCTCCCCCCAAGCTGTAACAATCAAACTTTTCTCCGGACATTGCTGAGTGTCTCTTCGGTGGGGCACACAATTGCCCGCTATGGAGAACCACTGGTTAGAGAGCAAAATAATCGAAGGGGCCCAACCTCTGAATGCCTATGCTCTGCCAGGACCTAGGCCAGATGTTTTTACCTATGTTAGCTCGTTAAATCCTATCAAACCCCCTTCTGTGTAAATATCATTAGCCCAACTTTTACAGATAAGAAGGCTAAGGCTCAGAGAAGTAATTTAACCAAAGTCACTCAACTAGTAGGTGACGTAGCTGGTCTTTGTTTGATCTTGGCATTGTCTGATTCTGAAACTTCTGTTTTTTGTAAGTCAACTTTATCAGATTGAGAAATGGAAGATATTTTCCACCCACAGTCATTACAAGTATATAGCTCATATTCCCTTTCTGGCCCGATAAATTTGTCAGGACAGAGTGTACCTGTGGCCTTCCCCTATGTCATGTGATTTCACTTGGCCTACTTACTTGATAGTCACCTGGGTATTGTTGGGTTTTTCCTAGCAAGGACCCACCACTTGACTTGTTGTGTACATCTTTCCATGTCAGTCTGAAATCATGTTAAGGTGAAGCAAACCATCAATGCTTTAAATCTGAATAGATTTTAGAATTTTAAAATAATTCATCCAAAGAGATCAGGTCACCTTCTCTGGTAAGTTTCCTTAGGAGAGCAGTGGTAAGAGTGTGATAATTCTAAGAAAGCCAAAGGGATTTCATAGGCCAGGAGTCTGATACTCCTGGAGATTAAACTCTTCGCCAGGAATGCAGAGTGTCCCTGACATCTAGACGTGACCCTCAGCTTGCACACATTGATTCAGTCACAGGTTTGAGATGCCTTGCAGTGTTACCACACTGCTGGAGGAAAGCTTTTTTTTTTTTTTTAAGATTTTATTTATTTGAGAGAGGAGAGAGAAAACATGAGCAGGGGGAGGAGCAGAGAGAGAGAGGGACAAACAGACTCCATGCTGAGCCCAACGTGGGGCTCGATCCCACTACCCTGAGATCGTGACCTGAGCCAAAGTCAGACACTTAACCGACTGAGCCACCCGGGTGCCCCAGAGGAATGCTTTCTTAAAAAGGGATCAATGCAAAGTACTGATCCTTGTTTCTGGGGTGGCCGTGGGGGGGTGCTACAGAAATGTCAGGGACCCAAGGGGGGAGCCTGAGGCTTGGCACCAGCCAGACCCAGACTGTTCCCCCCTCTTTCCTACTGGCACTGTGACTGACGCCATGCTTTGTTCCTTCTCTGAACCTCAACTTCCTTATCTATTAGATGGGGCCAATGATACCTCACTCGTAGGATGGTTATGATGCATGTCTTAATCAGGTCGGGCTGCTACATACAAATTACCATAGACGGGGTCGCTTCAGCAACAGATGTTTATGTCTCATCATTCTGGAGGCAGGGAGTCCAAGATCAGGGCGCTGGTATGGTCAGGTTCTTGGTGAGGGCCCTCTTCCTGGCTATGTCTTCACACGGCCTTTCCTTGGTGCGTGCATAGAATGAAGGATCTCCTCCTGTGTCTTTCTCTTTTCATAAGGGCACTGATCCCATCATGGGGACCCACCCTTGTGACCTCTTCTAAACCTGATTACCAGGGTCCTACCTCCAAATGCCATCACATTGAGGGTTAAGGCTTCAACATCTGAATTTGGGGGGGCACACACATTTAGTCCACAACAAAGTGGAATCCATTAAAATATTTAAGGTGAGCCATACGTATCATCCCCATCCCGCTTTGGGGGTGAGCTCTGATTGTATCTCCATGCAGAAGTGGAAGGCTGTCATATCATCACCACTCTCCTGGGTATCCTCCTTGAGTAACAGAATAGATTTCAGTGGATGAGTCTCCAGGGTCAGGGGTAGGGTCTACACTCTGGGTATGTATGTATCTAAGAACATCTCCATGACTCATTAATACCACCATTCTGCCTGTTGTCTTGCCTGATCTGTGTTCTTAGATGGAATCATATGAAAGAGAAGCATGAAGCAGGAGGGTCTGCCAAGTTCTAAGTGATATCAAGTGATTATAGGATTTCCTTGGTTTCTTTTTGGTGTTAGGCTAGCTCTTAGAATCTCAATTCCTCTACATAGCTGATACCCACACTACTCTTCTCACCCACAAATACTTGCCTCCTCTGTTTCCTAACCTTGCAAGTCTACTGGATGATTTTGGAGGTTCTGTTGATAACTGAGTAGCAATTTATTTGTTCATTTGTTTGCTTATTGATGCTTAAATTCATATATAGCTTGCATGGCATACAAAACATCCTATTTAAAAAGTAGCACTTGTAATCTCCCCACCAAAAAGTTGTAATTAATCAATGGTTAGTCGTATAACTAATAGTCTTAAAATAGAGAAAACTAGATGTTCTCAAGTCCTGGGCTGCATGAAAGAACATTTTCTACCTACTTCCCAGCCTGGAGAGCCAAGTCAAGGTATTCTCTTTTGATATCATTCATCAAAAATGTATTTAGTACCTTTTTTGTGCTAAGTTTTTATTGGATATATGAAATAAGTAGAGACAAATTCCCTGTCCACAGGGAGTTTAGAGTCTGAAAGGAAAAGAAGACATGTAAGTATAGAGATAGAATGTGTGTAATTACTAATATAATGGAGATGATTGTTTTATAGCAGCTAGCACCAGGTCTTGAAGGACAAGTGCAGACTAAACACGGGGCAGGTGGAGAAGAGAGACGTCTGGGCAGAAGAAATAGCTTAAGCACAGGAATAGAGTTATTTTTCTGTGGATTCAGCTAGTATTTATTGATTTTTTTTTTTTTTTGAGAAGGGTGTTTCTGGACCCAATTCCTCTGTGTGTGTGTGTGTGTGTGTGTGTGTGTGTGTGTAGGAGGGGTTTCCCCACACGAACCACAAGCAATTTGGACACTATCCTCTCAGAGATAGTACCAGATCCCACAGGTTGAGGGCTCAGTCCTATTAGACCGACGCCACCGTCCCCATCCTGTACCCAGTCGAAAGCCCAGGCTACTACCTGTGCTTCTGATGGATAAGCTCCACCGACCCCCCCTCCCACTGAGGCGCGGCTCATAAGTCCAGATTCTTATCTGTATTTCCCACCAACTGGCTATAAAGCCGAGGTTCCCACTGCCTCCCCCTTGGGTGTGATTAATTTGCCAGAGCGGCTCACAGAACTCACAGAAATGTCTTAACTCAATAGATTGCCAGTTTATGATAACAGGATAGAGCTCAGAAACAGGCAGGTAAGAGATGCCCAGGGCCTCTCAAGGCGCATTGCTCTCTCCACTTCTCCACACGTTCACCAACCCGGAAGCTCTCAGAACCCCATTCTTTTGCGGTTTTATGGACATTTCATTACATAGGCAAGCTTATTGAATCACTGGCCATTGGTGATCGGAGGTCAGGGAGAGGGACTGAAAGTTTCAATGTTCTGATCACATGGGTGGTTGTCTTGGCAACCAGCCCCCATCCTTTAAGAGCAGTCCCAAAGTGACCTCTATAATGTGACAAAAGACACCTTTATGGCTTTCACCACTTCGGAAATGCCAGGAGTTTTCAGGGGCTGGATGCCAGAAATGAAAGGAAGACCAAATATATATTTCTTATTATAAATCACAGTATCACAGTGGGGGTAACTTGTATTATGTGTCAGACACTGAGCGAGACCCTGGGATCCATTAGGGAGCAAAACCAGATCAGGTCCCTGCCGGCTTGGAGCTTCTCCGGAGGGGGAGGTGGGCAGGTGTCAAACCATGCATTCACACAGACAAATGGAAATAAAAACCGTGCTGCAGCAATGAGGAGAGGTGTAGATGGATGGGAGTGTAACGGTCGGACATTGGCGTCTCGGGGCTTTCCTGGAGGAAGCAGGGATTGCGTCAAGGGCTGATGAGCGGTGAAGGGTTAACTCACTGAAGACCGAGGAGAGCGAGCACCAGGACGTGGAACTGCATGAACAGAGCCTGTGTCTGAGATCCGGTGCATCCGAGAAGAAGGAGTGCTCCGGGCACTGTGGAAGCCCCGGGGGCCATTAGATGCATGCAGCCGGATCTCAGGGTTTAGTGGCCCCACAGGGGGCCTGGACATCATCCTTTGACCAAAGGGCGGGAACGCTGATGAGTTTGAAGCTGGAGAGTGTCTGGGTGAGACCTGTGACTTGCACATAGGATGTCAACAATGGGCACCCTGGGAACCCCGAGGGGAGGGCTCCCGGAAGCACATCAGTGACGGTGTGTCTGTGTCTCGGTTGCAGGTGTCACTGAATGTCAGAGGAGTGAGGCGGGCCTGCAATGTGACCAGGACGGCCAGTACCGAGCCAGCCAGAGGGACAGGGACAGCGGGAAGGCCTTCTGCGTGGACGGCGAGGGGCGGAGGCTGCTGTGGTCAGAGACGGAGTCTCCCCTCTCTGACTCCCAGTGTCTGAGTAGGTGCTGGAGGTGAAGTCGGCCACATGACTGGGGAGAGGTCACAGGCTCTCGGGGGCTTTCTAGAAGGGGAGAGACCTGTGAGCTGCATTTGTCTCCGACTTTTTATTGTGGAAATTTTTAATCTACGGAGGAGTTGAAAGTGGGATGAACAAGTAACCTGACCCCTAGATCCAAAAATTGTTAGCATTTTCTCTTTCTTTCTCTCTCTCTCTCTCTCTCTTTTATTTTTGATCTTTGGAAAGTAAATTTCAGACATCAGGAAACTTCATTCCCAAATACTTCAGTGTGTATGAGACGTGAATTTAAAAATAATTAACGAGCTGAGTATCCCTTTCTTGTGGGCAGTGTGCCTCTGATAAGCTGGTCAGCTTTTCTCTCTCGATTGGATGTTGTGGGAAGACTTGAATGCCAGTCCTGGTTCTGTAGCTTACTTACTGGGCGACCCAGAACCAGTCGCTCAACTTCTCTGATCCTCAGTCACCCCAGCAGCCTCCTGACCCTGTAAGGGCCAATGCCATCCTCTGAGGACAGTGAGGATTCATTGAACACCACCCTGTACTGGGCAGAGCTAGTCACTGAAATGATGGGTGGGAAAGCCCTGGGTGAACCGACACTTGACCTAGAATAGTAGGAGTGGGGTGAGAACTAGGGTGATCTCAATGGTGCCCTTTAGCAGTTCTGCAGTCTGAGCAAGCCACTGACTTTCAAGAGTTTCCTCACCTGGCAAATGGGGCTGTTCATGCCTGCCTTGCAGGGGAGTGGAGCGTGTTAGCAACGGCATGACTGAGAGAGGTAATAAACATGTCAGAATGATGAGAAGCCGCAGGAATATTAGCTGCCCGTTTCCTCCTCGGTGAAGCAAGGAGCAGGTGGAGGCAATCTGTAGGTTCCTCTCATCCTGACCTCTCCAAGTCTTCAGGGCTTTGCCCGACCATCCCGCAGTCACCCTCCTGCCTGAGGTCTGGCTGACCTTTGCACGCCTGACCAGGCAGAGTCAGCACCGGCTGCCCTAGGCTCTCAGATTTCCGTGTAAGGAGAGGGCCTGCTGTACTTGGACCTGCTCTGTGCCAGGCCAGGCCCCGGGCCAGGCAGTCATGGGTGAGCTTCCCAGTGGTTCTGAGGGGTAGATATTAGTATCCCCAATCATGTAGCTGAAGAAACTGAGGCAGAGAATGTCTACATGGCTTACCTTCCTCACTAATCAGGACGTAACGTGCCTAGAATGTGAACTGGGGTGTATCCGACCCCCAAACCCATGCTTCCCATGACACCAACCTGCTTCTGCTTAGATTTATCTGCTTCCTTATGAAGCACACACCTGCACACGCACACACACACACACACACACACACGCACAGCCTACCTGCTCTCTAGGGAAGTGGGGGCAGCTAATCACATACGACACCTGAGAAAATCCAAGTGAGGCATTTTCATTTTGCAATGCTCAGAGTAATCATTCCCTTCTTCAGCAAAGCGCTAACGAGTCTCAAGAGTGTGTGTGTGCGTGCGTGTGTGCGTGCATGTCCCCGTGGATACACTGCAAATCCAAGGGAAGTCTAATTCTTCTTTCCAGTATTCCTCTTCTTGGGCAGAAACAGCAATCGGGCGTTAAAGCTTGAGGGCGCTCGAGGCCACTGGGCAGGCTGACCTTAGGTGCCCTTCACCAGTGAGGGAGATGCTGGCCACGGTGGGGAGCAGGTGGCTAGGCCCTGGGGACTCCTGGCTATTCGGGGATCATCACCTAAATGCTTGCCTTTTAACCCACTCCTCTCTGCTTCCCTCTGAATGAAGGCCTCAGCGCCCAGGGTTGTAATCTGCGCTTGGCAAAGCGTTTCAGGCTTTGTTCAGCCCTGTGCTCGTCCAGAGCAGAAAGGACAGCTTCATCAGTGGTCCAGAGTGTCTATGAGCAACACCCCAGCCTTGTCAACTCCAGTGATGCCTTCCCGAGGCTCTGGCTGACAAACAGCCTCCAGACTGGACCTCACAGTCTCTGGCTTCTTATGCAAAACTCGGAGTTGCTGGTTTCCCTCTCTGGATATTCAGGAGGATTTCCATGTTAAGAAGCTGGGTCCCACTGGGATGTCAGTAACCCCCTTCTTGGAATCCAATCGACTTAGCCTTTGAGAGGAGCTTCCTCTTTGGGAGTGGGACTGCACTCCTTTTTTTTTGAGGCCTTTGTCCTCCAGAAAAAGCCCAGGTTAGAGGTCAGCTGTATCACCTGGGGGTGGGGGGGTGGGATTTGCCTCCTTCCCACCCGCTGTGTCCAGACCTGAGTTTTCACCCATGGGCATTACTGCTGTAGCCCACCCTAGTCCTCCGGCTCCAGTGTGGGCCCCTCAACGATTTTTCTACGATGCTTCAGGACAGTCATTCTACAAGACAGTTCTGTTTCTGCAATGCCCCTTACCAGTCTTCAGTGGGCCTGTACTGCTCTTGGGATAAAGTAAAATCGCATACCTCACCCTCCTCTCTGGGTTCTAGCCTCCTTAGGTAATATGACCCCTTAGGGCCAGGATCCTATCTTACTTTTTGTTCTATCCCACGGTTGTTGGCGCTTGTCGGCAGAATGAATGAGTTGCTGTAATTACCTGGGCCTCTTCGAAATTATTTCCTAAAGGCCACCAGGGACGGAGAGGCTCCCACCACCCTAATTCCCGCAGCCAGTTTTATGGGCCCTGATAAGGAGGCAGGTGTCCCCCCAGGGCGCCAAGGGACTCAGCCCTTACTGGATTGCTATCATGTACCAGCTTTTCTGTGCTCTTCGGTTTAATCCTCGCAACCACAAAACTGGGCTCTCAGAGATTGAAATGTGCATCAGGACTCAGAGCCGGTGAGGGGTGGCGGCGGGACTCACACGGTGAGCTGGTGCTCTTCCCCCCACCACGTGCTGCGTCCCTTTGTGGCGGTTCCCCCTCCATCTTCTCTATATCGCCGGTGGCAAACCCTTAGTTTACTCACAGAGTGAGTCGTTCACTCACTGACCTTGGCCGCTGGAAATATTGTAAGCTCATCTTCCTTTAATTCTACATCCAGTTTTCTAATTCTGCTTCTTGCTGACCCATGCCCAAGACCTCACAGAGCACGTCAGATGCCCAGAGGTCAATGCTGGGATCTTTGTAATATTTTCTCCAGGCTTTCTGGGGCTGCAATGATCTTGGCAGTCATTCATTCATTCTTCAGTGCATCCATCCAATACACAGGAACCTAGTATCTCTGTCACTATGCCAGCTAGTGGGTTTTCAAATATTCTCAGAACATTGTCCTTGCCTTGGAAAGAGAAGGGCACATAAATAGCCGTGATCAAATATGATTGTGCTCTCATGTGGACCCTCTATTCTTTCCCAAGACATTTGCAAATACCTGCTAAGTCAAAATGTGGCATGTGGGAAATTGTACCACTAGACTGTAGAAATCTGCCAGCCAACGCAATATTCTATGGAATTATTGGCAATTCAGCACCTGGATTGTTTCTGTTCTGTTTGGCAATGAGCTTCCTCACAGAATGCTGCAACATGAAGATCTTCGTCACCAAGGTGTCTCTTTCGCGAGAACCAGCAGATTGTCTAACTGAAGTGCTAAACTGACTGCATTTTCAGCCTCTGGGAAGACTTCAGTTGGAAACTGAAAGACCTGTCAAATTTTGTTTAGTCTGCTACAAGGTTGTGAGCATCTGCCTATACCTGTTAAACTTTAGGGACAAAGGGCTGAATATAGCTTGGTGTCTGCTGGACTGGAGCCCTAGAGTCTCTACAAACAAGATAGTAAGGGGCATAAAAATAAAAAGAGAGACAGAGAAAGAGAGAAAGATGAGAACAGAAGAGTTGAGTGTGGGCTGAGCCCATGAACTTGGCAACTTCCGTGATCAACATGGAAGGAATCCCTAGTAAAATTAGAATTTTTTTCTATATCAGAATTTGTGAAGGCTTAACGCGTGCTATTTCTCTTGTATTAGCATCCTCTCTCCCAACTGTATCCCAGAAGGAATAAACTTTTTTCCTGCACTTATTATGAAAATGGAGAAGAGATTGCTTTGGGTGGTCTTGAGCTTATTGACATGATAAAAACCAGTCTAGACACAAGTCTGTTTTACACAGCAATAGAGGTGTATGAGAATGGGTGCTTAGGTGCATGCTTGCAGTTCCATCTGCAAAAAACTAATAGTGGTGTACTTTGGAGCTTGGTTTTTGATAGTTATTTGCAAACCACTGATGCCCCTGGGCATTTTTTTTGGTTTCAAAAATGAGTCTCATTCCTTGAGAGTTACCCGCAGTACTTTTCGCTTGGTGAGGAATGAGTTCTGAGTCTTATTGTCTCGAGATCTTATATTTATTTCTTTTCCCCCGTTTAGTTCCATAAGCATGTGTCTCTATTATTCCTACCAGAGAACTCAGGCGTGTTGATGGTAGCTAGAGAAACAGATGCTGATATATCACTTAAACAAAGACTATCATGACAATGCCTGAGCCGCAGGACATGTCTCAGATTGATGTGAACCCACTTGTGCCTGTTTTATTTGTCTTTTAAAAGATAACTTATCCAACTTTTGCATCAACATGGATGGGACTGGAGGAGATTATGCTAAGTGAAATAAGTCAAGCAGAGAAATTATCATATGGTTTCACTTATTTGTGGAACATAAGGACTAGCATGGAGGACATTAGGAGAAGGAAGGGAAAAATGAAGGGGGGGAAATCGGAGGGGGAGATGAACCATGAGAGACTATGAACTCTGAGAAACAAACTGAGGGTTCTAGAGGGGAGGAGGGAGGGGGATGGGTTAGCCTTGTGATGGGTATTAAGGAGGGCACGTATTGAATGGAGCACTGGGTGTTATACGCAAACGGTGAATCATGGAACACTACATCAAAAACTAATGATGTACTGTATGGTGACTAACATAACATAATTTAAAAAAAAAAAGATAATTTATCTCTTTCCAGAAGGAAGCAAAAATTGCCTTATGGAAAGAAAATTTTCAATTTTCAATAAAATAATTGTAAGGTAATTAGCACTCGATCAGGACAAGAAAATATAAATTTGGATAGAAAATCCGTATCAATGAGAAAAAATGAGTTGTAAGGACTAACATGATCTCCTGACCATGAGGGAGCAGAAGGAGACATGATAACACGTAGCTTTCTGCATCAGATACGAAGTAGCGTGCTAGAACCATTTTCAAAGGGAATTCTTCTCCTGGGGACCTCTGTGCGACCAAGAGCTGGGAAGGCTTTCTTGACCTGGCACTTTTCCTGGCTTCTCTGTAGAGACCCTCCGCCCTTTAGAGTCAAATTTGATCAATCTGCTTTCCTTTCAGTGATGCGGAAATTTGAGAAGGCTCCAGAATCTCAAGTGATCCTCAGTGCCAGTGTCACTGTGGGGGGTGGGCCCAAAGTTCCTGGCTCTGAGTCCCCCCTGCTGCAGTGCTTCATAGGTAAGGGGTGGTGGGGAGATGGGCGCATGCAGAAATAGGCTCTGCTGACCTTGGCATACAAATTGAATAAGACCATTGGAACCATAATGAAAAATTACACTTTATCAGAACACGTGGTAAATCAATTGATTCCCAAAATGTACATCCAACTTGTGACTTCACTTCAGAGTTTATAATGCATTCACCATGTACCAAGAACAATGCGGTGCCAAATGTAAGGGAGCAGAGATGAAGGACATCGATTCCTTGTAGCCTTATTTGTCCCGGTCTCGAGAGCTATCTGCTGTAGCAACAGCAAAATTACCCAGAGAAGGGTAAAAAAACTCTCATTTATTGAGCGTGTAGGTTTACAAGGATTGTTATGAGATCATAACCCTACAGTCTAGGAAGCTCACTGTTGTCCATGTTACAGATGAGTGTGTGTTTGGGTGTTTTGGGGGCAGGGGGTGGGGGCATGTGTCCGTCTGTCCTCAGTATCACCTGAGACAGGTGCCAGTGCTGTCCACAGATTGTGCTTTGGACGAGGCCTGCAGCTTCCTCACGGTGTCCACGGCGGGATCAGAGGTCTCGTGCGATTTCTATGCTTGGACCAGTGACAACATCGCCTGCGTGACTTCGGCTCAGGTCAGTCGTGGCAGCTGTGTGGGGGTTCGGGGTCAGACATACCTCTGACTGAATGGACAGCGGGCTTTGGGAAATGGAGACCACAGTGGGCTGGTGAAGGTTCAGGATGCAGCTGTCCGTCTGAGCAAACACGATTATAACTTAAAAAGAAAATGTTAAATATTAGTTTGAACCCCATGAAATGGCTGTGCCTGGGGCCAAGGCTGACAATTTCACTGTGACCATGAATCGGGACAGAAGAGGATGCAGAAAGAAGCAGTTGTCCTAACTTTCCAGCTCCTAGCCACATGCAAATCTCCTTTTACTCTTCCAGTTTCTCATGGAAACTTCCAGAAAACGTCTATGTGTTTATAAGCATCCTTTTTGGTTTGTTTAAATGTTAAGAGCTTATAATACATATTCTTTTCTACCTTGATTTTCTCACATAATGCTTAACTTTCTGTATGTTTAAAATGAACCTTGTTCTTTTTAATGGCAGCATACCAATCCATTCTATGGATGTACGTAATTTATTTCACATTTTAAAAAAGATTTTATTTATTTAGAGAGAGAGAGTGTGCTGGGCGCCTGGGTGGCTCAGTTGGTTAAGCGACTGCCTTTGGCTCAGGTCATGATCCTGGAGTCCCGGGATCGAGTCCCATATTGGGCTCCTTGCTCAGCAGGGGGTCTGCTTCTCCCTCTGACCCTCCCCACTCTCATGTGCTCTCTCTCTCTCATTCTCTCTCAAATAAATAAATAAAA